TATGAAGTATCAAATTAAAAATTTAAATATACGCATAAAATAAAACCTACACCAAAAAACCTAAAAACTAAAACCCTGAACCCTACGCCTAAACCCTTTATATCGCTGAGGGATTAGTTGGAATATAAATAAAACTATATTTATCATCTTTAATATATATTTATTTTATTTTAATAATGTTTGCACATATTTTGATTCAATAATAAAAGAACAAAAATATATTTAAAAGAATTATTAAGATATAAATAATAATGTTTATATGTGATATTAGAAAGAGTTATGTTATGTGAATTTATTTCCACAATTATATAAAAATTAATAAGTCCAGGTTCAAGTAGAATTAAGAAAAATTAAATTATTGTAAATTCATAATACATATGCGCAATTATATTATTAATTTAAATAGGTTTACTTGAAATTTAGTCATACGAAACGTCTAAATATTATATACTTCTTAATGATCAAAATATTTGTATGATTTGTGTTACACTACAACTAATTTTTTCATCTGTATAATATTTGACAGTATAATTAAAATGCATAAAAAAACTAAAAATGATAAATGAATAAATGTTATATACAATTCATATTATATCACCTGCTTTAAATATATATCTTTGTAAAATAATACAAACTAAATTAATATGAAAAGTAAGTTATTGTTATACTACAAATATATAAAAATAGACATGTGTAAAATGTACAAATATATTTACACATATATTTATTCTATTAAAATATATTCATGCAGTAATGATAACGTCAGTATGAAATATAATATTTGTTGTATATTTTGTGTCTAGTTATTACATAAATCACAAAAAAAAAATTACCATATGCTTTCATCCAGAAAATATTTTATAAAAGCAAATATAATTGTTATACATATATATATATATTTTTCAGATAAGAAATGAATGATAAAATATAAAAAAATGATAAGAGAAGCAAAAATCTTTATAATAGAAGACGTCTCTAAATATAAATCCTGAAACATTACCTTAAAACAATGTAAAAATATTGATTTTTTTGTATTTTTATATTTTATAAACATTCTAACTAAGATGAAATTCATGATAAGTGAAATTTAGTGTTATTTTATATATTCATTTTTTTATTTATATATTAGATCATTTTATATATTTTTGTATCATTTTTTTCCTTTATATTGTATTTTATTATATAATTTTATTTTATTTTTTCAGTAGCATTATTAGTATCATACATATATGAATATGGAATTTTCTAATTTTAGTTAACCAATATTCAGTAATATAATTATGATTGCATAATAGTTACATTATCTTTTTAAATAAGTATATTAGTATTTTCTTTCAGAAACATATGATACATTATAACATTTTTCTTTTAACGCACCATGATAATGTTTTTTGTTACACATTTCATGTTGGTACGTTTCGTCAATTATATTTCTATTCATTTCTCTCATTCTGAGAAAGCGGTTTCGTAAATAATTTCTTGATGCAGTAAACTAGTATTAAATAAATATATATGGATGTTATAATTATAATTACTTGATGAATGCATTTTTTTTTTTTAAATATATAATAATATTATCTGTATAAGATAAAAAATTTTAAATAAAATTTTATTTAACCTTATAGATAATATAAAGTACTATTCCTAAAAATACACTACTAAGTGTAGTTGGTATTATAACATTCATATTAGCATGTGGAATATAAGTACTTGCACTAAAGTACGTATTGTTTTTTTCTGAATATTCCTTTAAATATTGTTTTTCTACAAATGCATTACAATTATTTTTATCCCTTTGAATAATTACATTTTTTGATATTTGTCTTAACTCACTTTTGCAATTATTATATAAATCATTATTTTCAATTGAGCATCTGAGATTATTTAATTCTTTGTGGAAATGTATATCTTCCTTATGTTTTCCGATAATTTCATTATATTCATCAATGAATTCTTTTAATTCTGTGCAATCATTAGGATCATTATTATCTTCTGAGTCCGGATTTAAAATAGATTCATAATATTCATATAGCTGATATAATTCATTCATTTTATCAAATTCTTGTTCTTCTATATATTTTATTTCCGGCATACATGTTTTATAAGATTCATTAGTTTTCTTACTTTCAACATATTTCTTAAAATGTTCAAAAATATCATTTACTTTTAAAGGGAAAAACTGTTTAATTTGTTCTCTAATATAGTAGTTAATATAGTTACAACATTTACCGTTTTTACAAGAATCATTAGAAGACATAATATTAAAAAGTTCTCTTATTATCTGACAAATATTAATAAATTTATTGCGTTCCACACATACGTGAACAGGATTCTGCACAATGAAACTAATAATATCTTCAGAAATTTGTGTAGATATTTGCAACGATTCAAAAATTTTTCTAAAAAGGATATAATCTTTCCAGTTAATATACTAATAGATAATATATAAATAATGAAGAATCCATATAATATACAAATCTGAAAAAATAAAAATTTTTCTCAAATTTTCCATAATGTTCATGTAACATTATGTAATTTATATATTCCAAAAAAAAATAAGGTACCGTTTTATTTGTTTCAGGAAGTTTCATTATATTTTATCTAAAAAAAAAATTAATTTTATAAATAATGTCCCTATTAATATTTATTCTCTAAAGCATGGAGTAACCGTATACATATATGTTCTTTTGTTCTATTATGTATTTTAATATTTAAAGAAATTTTCCCCCATAGGACAGTTTTGCTGGACTTATTAAATTATATTATTGTATAATTATTACATTTGAGAATTATAAGTACAAGTGTGTTGCATACGAAATTTAAAATATAAATTAGTATATATTATATAATAAAATATTTAATAGACATGTTTAAAAATGTAATGTTTATACGATAAAATTATATTACTCTTAAGAGTCATACAAAAAAATCAGTATCACCTTAATAATCATATATATTTTTAGAACAATCCTTACGGGAATAATATATAAATATGTATCATTCGTTTGAAAAAATGGAATCCTTAATATTAAACCATTAATTGTATATGATAACATAGCAGTTCTTATATTATTAATTGCAATACAAAGAATAAAAATTGTATACATAATTTATTCTTTGTATATTAAGTTAATTACATGATACCATTGTTTAATAATGTTAAATAAATATTATTTATTTGTATTATATTTATTTATGGTACAATTAAATATTCATATACATTAATATTATGAAAAAAAAGTTAATCCGATGCATCAAAACAAATAGGAATATAATATGATTAAAATTATTAATAATATAAAATATATTTTTCACAAACCATATAAGTTATATGATTGAAGCAAATATTCTATCTCTTATGACGATTATATATTTTTTTCAGAAAAATGATTTAATATTTATAAATATAATAAATATATATTATTAAATAATCAATAATAGTAAGATTTAGGGTTC